AGGTCTGGGTCCACCTGGCCCGTGGCGATCAGGTACTGCAGGACGTAGATGTTTGGAGCGAAGTGGATCATGTTCTGCTCCCCACAGCCATACGGCATCTGGATCAACGAGTCCAGACCACTGATGGAGGGCCCCAGGATGTCACCTACGTCGCAACAGGAAGCAGAAATCACCTGAATGGTTCAGTCTGCGTCCAAAATGTTTCTGGTTTTAAAGAACTGAGAACCATCCAACGTTACATGAACATCATCTCAGAGCTGCTGCTTCTGATCCTAATAAACAGATAAACTGTAAAAGACAAAGTCCTCAGGAGGAACCAGCTGGATTCCAGCCTGCGTTCCATCATGGCTCCCATCCGGGGCCCCATCATTGTTATAATCTTAGGACTCTTCATAGTTCTCATCCAGGGCCCCCTTATGGCTCTAATCCTAACCCCATTCAATGAGCGCCTTGTGGGCCACCTCATGGTTCCTATGTGGGGCCACCTCATGGTTCCTATGTGGGGCCACCTCATGGTTCCTATGTGGGGCCACCTCATGGTTCCTATGTGGGGCCACCTCATGGTTCCTATGTGGGGCCAACTCATGGTTCCTATGTGGGGCCAACTCATGGTTCCTATGTGGGGCCAACTCATGGTTCCTATGTGGGGCCACCTCATGGTTCCTATGTGAGGCCAACTCATGGTTCCTATGTGGGGCCACCTCATGGTTCCTATGTGGGGCCACCTCATGGTTCCTATGTGGGTCCACCTCATGGTTCCTATGTGGGGCCAACTCATGGTTCCTATGTGGGGCCACCTCATGGTTCCTATGTGGGGCCACCTCATGGTTCCTATGTGGGGCCACCTCATGGTTCCTATGTGAGGCCAACTCATGGTTCCTATGTGGGGCCACCTCATGGTTTCTATGTGGGGCCTCCTCATGGTTCCTATTCCGGGGCCCCATAATAGTTTAAAATTGGAGCCCCCTCGTGGTTTCTATTCTGGGGCCCCTAATGGTTTCTAATTGGGCTACTCTCAAGATTTCTATTCGGGGGTCCCTCGTGTTTAGATTCTGGGGCCCTAAAATAGTTTGAAATTGGAACCCCCTCATGGTTTCCATTTGGGGCCTTCTCATGGTTTCTATTCGGGGGCCCTTTATGGTTTCTAATTGTGCCCCCCTCAAGGTTTCATTTCGGGGGCCCCTAATGGTTTCTATTCTGGGGCCCCACAATAGTTTAAAATTGGAGCCCCCTCGTGGTTTTTATTCTGGGGCCCCTAATGGTTTCTATTCCAGACTCCCTCATGGTTTGTATTTGGGGCCCCATCATTGTTATAATCATAGGAATCTTCATAGTTCTCATCCAGGGCCCCCTGATGGCTCTAATCCTAACCCCATTCAATGAGCGCATTGAGGGCCAACTCATGGTTTCTATGTGGGGCCTCCTCATGGTTCCTATGTAGGGCCAACTCATGGTTTCTATGTGGGGCCTCCTCATGGTTTCTATTCTGGGGCCCCACAATAGTTTAAAATTAGAGCCCCCTCGTGGTTTCTATTCTGGGGCCCCTAATGGTTTATAATTGGGCTACCCTCAAGATTTCTATTCAGGGGTCCCTCGTGTTTAGATTCTGGGGCCCTAAAATAGTTTGAAATTGGAGCCCCCTCATGGTTTCCATTTGGGGCCTTCTCATGGTTTCTATTCGGGGGCCCTTAATGGTTTCTAATTGTGCCCCCCTCAAGGTTTCATATCGGGGCCCCTAATGGTTTCTATTCTGGGGCCCCACAATAGTTTAAAATTGGAGCCCCCTCGTGGTTTCTATTCTGGGGCCCCTAATGGTTTCTATTCCAGGCTCCCTCATGGTTTGTATTTGGGGCCCCATCATTGTTATAATCATAGGAATCTTCATAGTTCTCATCCAGGGCCCCCTTATGGCTCTAATCCTAACCCCATTCAATGAGCGCATTGAGGGCCAACTCATGGTTTCTATTCTGGGGCCCCATAATAGTTTAAAATTGGTCCCTCCTCGTGGTTTCTATTCTGGGGCCCCTCATGGTTTCTAATTGGGCCCCCCTCAAGGTTTCTATTCAGGAGTCCCTCGTGTTTATATTCTGGGGCCCTAAAAAAGTTTGAAATTGGAGCCCCTCATAGTTTATTTTCTGGGGCCCCTAATGGTTTCTAATTGGGCCCCCTCACAGTTTCTATTCGGGGGGCCCTAATGGTTTTTATTCTGGGGCCCCAACAAGGTTTCCAATTTGGCCCCCTTTATGGTTTCTATCCAGAGCCCCCTCATGGTTTCTATTCAGGGCCCCCTCATGGTTTCTATTCAGGGCCCCCTCAGGGTTTCTATCCAGAGCCCCCTCATGGTTTGTATCCAGGGCCCCCTCAGGGTTTCTATCCAGAGCCCCCTCAGGGTTTCTATCCAGAGCCCCCTCATGGTTTCTATCCAGAGCCCCCTCATGGTTTCTATCCAGAGCCCCCTCATGGTTTCTATTCAGGGCCCCCTCATGGTTTCTATTCAGGGCCCCCTCAGGGTTTCTATCCAGAGCCCCCTCATGGTTTCTATTCAGGGCCCCCTCATGGTTGTAGCTTTCCATTGCCTCCAGTTTAAAGTTCTGAATTTATTCCTGGTATTGAACAAACATATTATCTCTTTTTATTTACAAATTGAAAACAAACCATTGGAGACTAGAAATGGAACCAATGGGTTTTCAAAAATCGATAAAAGAATTCGACCCAAACGTGACGGGATGATGACGTACCGATGGCCGTCAACGAGACGCGCTCGCTGCCCTCCACCACACCTGGTGGGAAGGAGAAGCGGACATCCCTGGAGAGGCTGGTCTGGTCTGCAGAAAGATGGAAGAGCATCGAGGAGGAGAAGGTCTGCGGGACTCCTTCAGCCTGAGAGGAAACACACAAAACAGGCTGCTGATATAAAAAGCTCCCCTTCAGAATTCAAAGGTTTATTCCAGGAGCAGAATCATGAATGGGAACGGATCAGCTGCAGTTCCATCATTTTACCATCAGGGAACATCGTGTGAGGAGAGAAGGAGAGAGAGGAGAATCAGAATCAGAAATACTTTATATATATATATATATATATATATATATATATATATATATATATATATATAAAGTATTTCTGATTCTGATTCTGAGACCCCCCCCACCCCACCCCAGCAAAAAAAAAATAAAAAATGCAAACTTTAAAACTGTTGGAGGGACCGAAGAGCATCATTTACATTCTCAATGTAATTTTTACTTTGCAATTTCAACAAATTACAAATATCCTCACATGAAAAAGTTTAATATAAATTAAGTTTTCATTAAAAATCATCTTCCCAAATTAATAACAGTTTAATTAGAACAAAAAAATAGATTTATCTATGTATGCGTGTGAAAAAAATAGCTTTTGGATTTTGAAAATATATTCCTATTTTGTTTCACTATAAATTTAAACAAAGGACAGATTATTTTTATGTGAGAGCTGAGAATTTATTTTTTATTCATGTTTACATGTAATGATAATAATGGTCAATATATTTATGCTTTGTTTCGCTGCTTGATCCTGAAAGATCAGGGAAAACACAAAGATCTTGTTTTTTTACTGCAGGATTTTCTTTTTATGTTTAAAATATCTCGTTGGAGATATATTTTCTTCTTCTATTGGAGCCTCGTCAGTCAAGGGAATCTTCCTAACTTCCTACCAGGGCTCTTTTACTTTGAGCTTCATTAAACATGTTTTTCTCCAGGTAAAAACCTCCCCACCTTAACCAGGACGGTGGTGTGGATGTGGTCAGACGCCGCAGAGGACATGGCCTTCACAGAGATGGGGATGTTCCCGAGGACCTGAGGCCTGATGGGGATCAGAACGGTGGCCCCGCCCTCCCTCTCCACGTAGACGTGACGGACGCTGGCCATGGAGACGGCCTCGTTGTCCGGGAAGACGAATTCAAAGCTGTCGCTCTCTGCCACGATCACAGCGACCTGAAGAAGGAGACACGCCCGGATTAGGTTCAGCTAGACAAAGCTGAAGGGTGGGGTGATGGAGGAGACGGGTTTCTGGGTCAGCAGGACGTTCCAAAAGAGAACAGGAAGCTACGACCACAGGGAGCTTTGTGGGAAGCTCATTCAGAGCTAAAATCACCACCATCAGGCTTCCTGATGAGACGCTGAAACACAATACAGTGGAAGAAGAAAACACCTTTCCCATCTGAAATGGAGCCTGATGAGTGATCAGTGATCCTCACACCACAGCAGAGTTTCTATGAACTGAAAGTAACTTAAGGTGACCTTATAAGGCCGTATAAAAACCGGATCACTGCTCGACACTTATCAGGCTCCGTTTCAGATTGACTCAGGTAAAACACCTGTAAATCAGAAACCGCAATCAGTTCAGAGCTTTAATCTGCTACTTAATATAAAGAGATACAAATAATTGCTCATGCAAAATTTCAGCTGGATCAAACAACTGGAAGTGTGTCAGGAGCATTACTTATTGAACGCCCCTCATATATATTTTAAATTAGATTTGACGCTTGGAATAAACATATACATTAAGATTAAGGATGCACGATATTGGGATATCGGCCGATATCCGATATGCCGATATTTTAAAACTCATGTAGCCGATAACCGATATCGATACCGATGTTAAAGCTGGACAAAAATAAGTAGTCATTGAAAATAGCAGTTTTGTTATCCATTTCTGACACTTTGAAAAATAATATACTCAAATATATTTCCATATGCTGATATCAAATAGATTTTTTAAAACGCAGTATCGATCTATTTTACTTTCAAAATCTCGTGAAATTTCATCGTTCTGTTACAAACTCTCGTGATATTTTGCAAATTCTTGTGAGATTTTGTTAGTAAAATAGATCGATACCGCGTCAATATATCAACATATAAAAATATGGCAACATTTGGTGAATTTTCGGGGGATTTCGTAGCATAACGATGACATATAGCAATATTTCATTAGTAAAAGAGATTGATATGGTGTTTTTAAATGGCAATATATCAGCATATGAAGATATTGGGATATTTTAATGGATCAATATTTTTTCCCTCGTATTTAGAAGTTTTTAAGTCTGTAAAAAAGAAGTTTTTGAGGAAGAGGAAGAAGTAGTATTTTATTTTTTTTAGACTTTAGAAACTCAGAAGCTGATCAAATATCGGGTTAAATATCGGTGGGGGGGCCGATGTCCAATATTCAGTTTTAAGGCCGATACCAATAGGGGGCCGATTATATCGTGCATCCCTAAATTTAGATTTGGTTTTACATTTAAGATTTCGCCCAGAAATATATATTTAGAGTTATAAGATGTATATTCAGATATTCAATATTTAACTTTTGGATTTTAGATTTATATACCAATTTTATATATAGAAACAGGATGTATAAACAGATGTAGCATATAAAGTTGGGTGTCTTTTTTTCAACATTTATATATTTGTGTTTTGCACCTAAATGCTAGATAAAAAAAAAAAAAAAACTCCAAATGTGGTAGAAGTGTAAAATGTAAGAGTGAAATTTTTTGGTAAATATTTACATTTGGCCCCAAACTGGAGGCCAAAGGGCCATTAACTGAGTGGATGATGATGCTGATGATGTCTGCAGATGTGGAGTCTCCCTCCAGTCTGGATTCTATGAAGGATCTTTCTTTTTGTCTAGATCTCCCAGAAGTTCTGCTGTGAAGGAAGAAGACTGACCTCCAGGTCCTCTTGGAGGTAGTTGAACAGAACCACCTCCAGCACCAGCTCCTCTCCCCGGGTAACGCAGGCAGGAAGGTTGAGGGACAGGAAGAAGTCCTGAAACACTGTGAGCTGCAGGGAGACCAGAGAAGATCAGAGGAGCAGAAAGCGGGTTCTGAAGATGGAGGACTTATCAAATGCAGCCTTTCAATGTTGATCTGGATCCTCCAGGTCCAGATAAAAAGCCGGCCTTGTTTTCCTTCATCCTGTTCATTTAACCAACTGATTAATCTGCAATGTGGAGCCAGAGATGCAGATGGTTGGAACGGATCTCTGTACAGGCATTTTACCTTCTGGACCTGGATTATCCACCTGTACTGGGATTTACAGCATACCTCTGCTGGTTTCTCTGTGACTCCCAGAAAACCCCCCGGGCCTTGGGGCATTACAAGGCGGAGGCCGGGCCAGGTGGGGGGATGCTGTCAGGGGAAAACCCTCCAGCCGGAATTTCGCCCCCAAAAATGAAGCTCTTTCAAAAAAGAGGGGCGTTCCAAAATGTGAAACCAAAAAAGAATCAAAAAAGGGTTTTAAAAAAACCTTTCCCTTTAAATTTGTGAAAATTTTTTTCGCTTTTCCCAAAAGGGCAATCAGAAAATCATTGTTTTTGCTTTTGGCACGGCTGAGGAGGTCTGAACAGGAAGGAAAATCAAAACCTTTCCCAAAAAAGGGAACCCTTTCCAAAAAAACCCTTTTGTGATCTCTGAGCTGCTGCGACTTCTTTTTTCTGTGTTAAAAAGAATGAAATTTTGCAAATCGGGCGAAAAGATTCAAACCCCCTGCTCCCAAATCTGAACCTAATGGAAATTTTGGAATAAAAAAAAAAAGAGGGAAAACTGGGATCCATCACCCGTGGTTTTACTTCCATCCAGACCCAGGGGCCCCCGGGAAGGGTTTTTCAGCTTTTTGCGGCCTTTTTTGTTCCTGGTTTATGTTCTCCGGGCCACCTGGGGGGATATGAACCAGCTCCCCTTCTGCTGTCCTCAGGGGACCCAAGGGTTTTTAACAGCAGGGGAGGGGGGGGAACCCTCCCCAAAAAAACTGTCCAGAAATCATTTGGTTTTCCCGCACGTCCCAAAAATCAAAATAAAAAAAAGAACAAAAAATTCGATTTTTTAAAGGGGTTTTTGCAGGGAAAAAGGAATTTTACTTTTTGTTCCTCCCTTTAAATTCAATCATTTATCAACAGTTTTTGAAAAAAAGTTAGAGAGAATCCCTTTGAGGAAAGGGAAAAGGGAAAAGGGGGTGGAAAACAAAAGGAAAGGAGGAGAGGATGGGGGGAGAGCTGGGAGGGGGCAAGGGGTGGGAAAAAAAAGGGATGGAAGGGCTGGATTGGGGAAAAGATTTGGGGGACAGGAAGGGAGGACAGGGGGGGAGGAAAAGGGGTTTGGGGGGAAAGGAAAGGAGGAAGGATGGAGGACAAAATGGGGGAAAAGGGTGGAAGACAGGATGGGGGAAAAAGGGTGGAGGATGGGGGGTGGAGGAAAAAGGAAAGGGGAAGGGATGGGGGAAAGGAAAGGAGGGAAAGGGGGGAGGGAAAAAAAATGGAAAGGGAAAGGGATGGGGGAAAAATTGGAGGGAAAAGGGTGGAGGACAGGGGTGGGGGGAAAAGGAAAGGAGGAAAAGGGGTGGAAAAACCCAAAATGGGGGGGACAGGATGGAGGGGAAGGGGGGGGTGGAGGACAAGATGGAGGACAGGATGGAGGAAAAGGGTGGAGGGAAAAGGGTGGAGGAAAGGGGTGGGGGCCCCGAATGGAGGAAAGGGTGGGAGGAAGGGGAAAGGGGGGTAACAAAATGGAGGACAGGGTGTAGGGGAAGGGGTTTGGGGGAAAAAGGGGTGGGGGAAGGGGGTGGAGGGGCAGGGGGGGAGGAAGGGGATGGAGGAAAAAAGGGTGGAGGAAAAAGGGTGGAGGAAGGGATGGAGGGGAAAAAAAGGAAAGGGGGTGGAAAACAAGATGGAGGACAGGATGGAGGAAAAGGGGGGGAGGGGCAAAAATGGAGGGCAGTATGGGGAAAGGGTGGAGGAAAGGGGGAGGGGAAAGGGGGGGGGGAAAAGAATTGGGGGGAAAGGGAAAGGGAGGAAAAGGGGTGGAGGGGGCCAAAAATGGAAAGGGCAGGATTTTTTAGGGAAAGGATGGAGGAAAAAAATGGGAAGGGGAAAGGGTTTGGAGGACAGGATGGAGGAAGGGGTGGAGGAAAAGATGGAGGAAAAGGAGGGGGGGGGAAAAGGGGTGGGGGGGAAAAGAGGAGGAAGGGAAAGGAAGGGCAAATGGAGGGCAGGATGGGAGGAAAGGGGGGGAAAGGGCAAGATGGGGAAAGGGCAATGGATGGGGGAAAAGGATGGAGGAAAGGAATTTGGGGGAAGGGGGTGGGAGGGGCAGAAAAAAGGGGGACAGGATGGAGGGACAAGATTTGGGGCAGGAAAGGAGGAAAAGATGGAGGAAGGGAGGAAAGGGCAGAATGGAGGACAAAATGAAGGAAAAAGGGTGGAAAAGGGAAAAAATGGGGGAAAGGATGGAGGGAAAAGGTTGGAGGAAAAGGGATAGATGACAGAAGGAGGGGCCCCGGATGGAGGAAAAAGGGTGGAAAGGGGGTGGGGGGAAAGTGGAGGAAGGGAAAGGGGGGAAAGGGGTTGGGGGGACAGAATGGAGGAAAAGGATGGAGAAAAGGGTGGAGGGGAAGGGGGGGGGGACGAAAGGAGGGAAAAGGATGAAGGAAAAGGGATGGAGGAAAGGATGGAGGAAGGGATGGAGGACAGAATGGAGGACCCGGAAAGGGGGAAAGGATGGGGGGAAAGGATGGGGGGGAAAAGGGGTGGAGGAAGGGATAGAGGAAAGGGGATAGAGGAAAAAGTTTGGGGGAAAAAATGGAAAGGGGGGATGGGGGGAAAAAGATGGAGGAATGGATGGAGGGGGAAAAGGTTTGGGGGAAAGGAAAAGGAGAAAGGATGGAGGGGCAGAAAGGGGGAAAGGATGGGGGGGAAAAAGGGTGGAGGAAGGGGGTTTGGGGGGACAGAATGGGGGGACAGGAAAAGAAGGGGAAAAGGGTGGGGGAAAAAGGTGGAGGAAAGGGGATGGAGGGCGAATGGAGGAAGGATGGAGGAAAGGATGGAGGGAAAAAGGGTGGGAGGGAAAGGAAGGAGGAAGGGGGGGAGGACCCAAAATGGAAAGGGGTGGAGGGGAAAAAAGGGTAGAGGGAAAAAGGAAAAGGAGGAAGGGGTGGGGGGCATAAAGGAGGCAGGATGGGGGAAAGGTTTGAGGGAAAGGGAAAGGAGGAAGGGGGTGGAGGACCCGAAAAAGGGGACAGGAAAGAAGGAAAAGGGGAGGAGGAAAGGATGGAGGAAAAAGGATGGAGGGAAAAGGGGTAGAGGGCAGAAAGGGAGGACAGGATGGGGGGGAAAGGATGGAAGGGAAAGGGGGGAGGACAAGATGGGGAAAAGGGAAAGGGGGGAAAAAGGTGGGGGGGACAGAATGGAGGATAGGATGGAGAAAAGGATTTGGGGGGGAAAGGAATGGAGGAAAGGGGGGGAAAGGGCAAATGGAGGACCGGATGGAGGGAAAGGGTGGGGAAAGGATGGAGGAAGGGGGATAGAGGGGAAAAAAAAAGGGGGAAAAGATGGGGGAAGGGGGTGGGGGACAAGATGGAGGAAAAGGGGGGGAGGAAAAAGGGTGGGAAAGGAAAAAGGGTGGAGGACAGAAAAGGAGGACCGGGGTGGAGGAAAAGGAAAGGAGGGGAAAGGGGGTTGAGGAAGAATGGGGGGGGGCAGGATGAAGGAAAGGGGTGGAGGAAAAAGGGAAAGGAGGGGAAGGGGTGGGAGGACCCGAATGGAGGGGCAGGATGGAGGAAAAAAGGATGGGGGAAGGGATTGGAAAGGACAGAATGGAGGGGCAGGAGGAAAAGGGAAAAGGTTTGGGGGGAAAGGATGGAGGAAGGGGATGGAGGGGGCAAAAAAATGGAGGACCCGGGTGGAAGGAAAGGGGTGGAGGAAGGGAAAAGAGGGGAAAAAAAATGGAGGGAAAAAAAAATGGAGGAAGGGGGTGGAGGGGGAAAAGATGGGGGAAAGGGATGGGGAAAAAGGGGGGGGGGAAAAAAATGGGGGGGAAAGGGATTGGGGGACAGAATGGAGGGCAGGATGGAGGGAAAAGGGGGGAGGAAAGGGGTGGAGGGCAGAATGGAGGACAGGAAAGAAGGAAGGATGGAGGAAAAGGGGAAGGGAAAGGGGTTGGGGACAGAATGGGGGGAAGGATGGGAGGAAAGGGAATGGAGGAAGGGATGGAGGACAAGATGGAGGAAGGGATCCCAGGGGAAAAGGGTGGAGGGAAAAAAAGGGTAGAGGAAGGAATGGGGGAAGGGGAAAGGAGGACAAAAATGGAGGACAGGGGAAAGGAGGAAAGGGGTAGAGGGAAAAGGGAAAGGAGGAAGGGGGGTGGAGGGGCAAAAATGGGGGAAAAGGGTGGAGGAAAAAAGGATAGAGGGGAAAAGGAAAAGGGGGGGGAAAGGGGTGGGGGACATAAATTTGGGGGACAGGGGTGGAGGGGAAAAAATTTGGGGGGAGAGGGTGGAGGGCAAGAAAGGAAGAAAAGGGGTTTTGGGGGACTGGGGTGGAGGAAAAGAAAGGAGGGCAGGTGGAAAGGGAAAGGGGATGGGAGGAAAGGGGATAGAGGACAAGATGGAAGAAGCAATGGAGGACATAATGGAGGACATATTGGAGGACAGGATGGAGGAAAAGATGGAGGAAGGGGTGGAGGACTGGAAAGGAAAGGGGCGGATTTGGGGGAAAGGTGGAGGGAAGGGGATAGAGGACAAGATGGGGGAAAAAGCAAAGGAGGAAATAATGGAGGGGAAAAGAATGGAGGACAGGGTGGAGGGAAAAAATGGAGGAAAAAGGGTGGAGGACTAATGGAGGACAGAAAAAGGAGGGGCAGGGTGGGCGGGGGGGAAAAGGAAAGGGGAAGGGAAAAGGGGGAGGGAAGGGTTGGGGGAAAATGGGGGGACTGGATGGAGGGGGAAAGGATGGAGGGGGAAAGGGTGGGGGGGGAAAGGATGGGGGAAGGGATGGAGGAAAAAAAATTGGAGGAAGGGGTTTGGAAAAACAAAAATTTGGGGGACAGGATGGAGGGGGCAGGGTAAAAAGGAAAAAGGGAAGGGGGGAGAGGGTGGAGGAAAGGATGGAGGGGAAAAGGGTGGGGGAGAGGATGGAGGACAAAAATGGGAAAAAGGGATGGGGGACTGGATGGAGGGGGAAAAATGGAAAGGGAAGGGAAAGGGGGGAACCCGGATGGAGGACAGGATAGAGGACAGGAAGGAAGACAGGATGGAGGAAAGGATGGAGGAAGGGAAAGGAAAGGGAAAAAGGGAGGGAAGGGGTGGAGGAAAAGATGGGGAAGGGATTTAAAAACAAGATGGAGGACAGGATGGGGGG